AGGCATGTAAGAAGTATTTTAGGGTTTAGTTTTCAGTGAGTTGTGTGGTTGTTTTTGGTTTGTGGTTTTGTGTTTGTTTTTCTAAGGCAGTGTATATAAGCAAATTAAATCACATGTAATCCTGGGATTGCCAAAGAAAGATTCAGGACAACAAAAACCTCTTCTAAAGAAGTATTTTTCTCTGCTGGTTTTATTCTTGGGAATGTCCTGAATAGATACAGTCACACCTGCACCTTTTCCTCAGTTGGAATGGGCAGGACCAGACCATAAAGAAGTCTTGGTTTACAAACAGCAGCCCACTGGGTCCTTGGGCAGCCTGGTGAAATGGTCCCTGATGGGATGATGGGAAGCTCCCCAAGCACAGAGTGAGCTTGCATCTTCTGTAAACACTGCCACAGGTCACTGCTCTGAAGGGTCTGGCAGAACATGCAAACTCCAAGTGGAGAGATGACTTGTTTAATGTCAGCTAGAGCTTACAGAATAAGCTGTTCCCTCCAGTGCTAGTGAATTCTGTGGCATCTAAAATAAAAATGTGCCTGCACACAGGCCTCTGCATCTTCAGGGCAGTTGTTAGACCAGAAAAAATAACACCCTTGTTCTGCATTTTTTTCCTGATCTCTGATTTTCCTTTTCTGAAATTCACAGAACCATACAATGGTTTGGGTTGGAAGAGACCTTAAATACAATCTCATTTTATCCCTCTGCCGTGGGCAGGGACACCTCCCACTATCCCAGGTTGTTCCAAGCCCCTTCCAGCCTGGTGTTGGACACTCACAGGGATGGGGCACCCTGTGCAGGGCATCAGCACCCTCACAGGGAAGAATTTCTTCCAGCCTAAACCTGCTTTCTTTCATTTTGAAGCCATTTCCCCTTGTCCTGTCACTTCAGGTTTGTTCTAGACACATGCTCATTTCTCAGCCACTTGCAGATTATGGAATTAAATGCATCCACAGTAAGTACTTAGTACCTCTTCTCTTAGAAATGTAAATACAGATTTGTTGATCTGCTGAGCTCTGCCCCAAGCCAGAGTAGGTGGGACATGCTTTGAGCTGGTCCTTCATCCTCCCTGTGCCTCCTCTGGCCTATGAGCATCCCTTGCCCATAGAGGTGAGATGCTCAGGTGTGTATATGGGGGTGTTTCTTATCTCTAAAGGGAGACTGTAACACTTCAGGAAAGAACTGATGCTAACAAATGCACTTGGGACTGGGATAAAACTGATTTTAACAAATGCACTTTGGACTGGGATAAAACTGATGCTAACAAATGCACTTGGGATTGCCTTGAGTCCAACATGTTAATCTTGACCAAACCTGTATGTGTTTCTTACTATTGCAAAGAAAGCTTCAGATTTCAGTTTTATTTTTTAATGAGGTCATATTTCTATATTTCTATCCAGTAACATAGTTACTCCAGCTTAGATTTGAAATACATATATTTCTGTATTTCAAGCCATGAAGGTTTTCTGATGGACAGCTCTAACAGTGCAGCTGGACATCAAAGCATCTCAGAAAGCCAGCTCTTGCTCTCTTAAGCCTGTTGCTGTTTATCTGCCTCCTGCAAGAGAAAAACAAGGGAGGGGGAAATAGATACTGCGTAAAGGAAAAAATAACAAATAAATTAATGCCAGGTGTCTGGAAGCAGTTCCTTACTTAGCTTCCTTTGGGGAGAAGGTGAAACAACAAACCCTACAATCCCTTTTTATCTTCTCTGCAGCCTTCCTCATTGTGCTCTGTTTCTGTATCCCCAAATAAAGTTGGTTGGCCATCCCCAGAGCTGTGCGGGTTATCCTGCCACCTCCTGCTGAAATCCATCCTCACGGCACTCCAAGGTAACCAAGTTGGGTCTTTTTGGGGTTATGGATGAGTAAGTTGGACCTTAGGCACTATGCACTGTTGTAGGTTACTGTGATTCTTGTGGGGAATAATAATAACAATAATGATAATAATAAAACAACAACTTTTTCTGTAATTTTTATGAGCTACTGTAGAGGCAAATCCCTGCCTTAGGCCTGAACCCCACTGAGTTCTTGTTTATTCTAGAAAATGACTTTGTGTGATACTATGGGCTGTATTATTATTCTTTAAATTTATAGGCTTGTACCAACCCTCCAAAGTGTACCACGAAACTCACAGGCATGCAGTGCTGATCTCAGTCTGCTGCTGGGCACACTTTTATTTAGAAACTCTTGCTGATCATGCATGACATCAAGCTGATAGAATGAGGATACCTTAATTTGACTAAACCCTTTTGGAGTTGTCCAAGATAAGGAATTTGATTCTTGTCCCAACCCAGCCCCGAGTTTTAGCACTGCCCTTTTTGATGGAAGCTGTAGAAAGAGATTTTTTTCTTCATAAATCTTAAGAAAGTGGTGAGAGAGAAGGGGGTGAAATTCCTGACAGCACTGTGGTAGCACCCAGAGTAAAAGCTACTTTGTATTTTGAGACTGGTGGAAAATTTCAGGTACCACAGCACATGCTTTCTCAGCTAACATACAAACTCTCACCATTTTCAGTATGCACACATATTATAGTTCCAGTTAGCAGTACTGGTGTTGTGCAGCAACTGCACATGAAGACAGGGAGTAGGTTGGCAGTCTGCTCTTCTCCTCTAGCCATTTTATTTTCCTCCTAGTATAACTCTACCTGCAGAGCAGAGCACCGCAGCTGCATTTTGACAGTATGAAACCACAGCCCTCCTCTTCACTGTCTCTTTTTCTGCTTTACCAGTCTCCTTGTCTGTTTAAAAAGGTGTCAAGACTGGCCATAGTGCTTCTGTATAACAGCAAATAACTTGGCAGACACGGGGGGGTGTAAATGTTTGGTTAAAGTAGCAATGTTTCAGGTCAGTAATCAGATTGCCTAGTTCCAGCCAGAGGTGAATTTTTACCACCTCGTATAAGCTGATTTATAGTGGAAGCATGAAGAGGTAATGAATGCAGACAGCCCTGCAGGCCAGCAGCCCCAGTCCTGCCAGCAGCCCATCCTCTCCCAGGCACCAGCTGCACCAGCAGCTTGCCAGCAGGGCAAGTGGGCAGTGCTCTGCCAGCTCAGTGCATGGGAGGTATCAGTGTTCACACCAGCCCTGGAAGATGTGAAGCCAGGTTGCATAGGAATGTGTTTTAGTGTTTGTGATCTCATGGGAATGCCAGCATTTGCTGTACTGAAAGAATTTTGAGGAATTTTACTCTTTGAGTGAAGAAGTACAAGGTCGTCTCATAGATCTTGTAGACTTGGGGCTAAAAAATTGAGCTTATGGACTTGATAGCCTTGTTGCAGGCATTGGAATATTCTCTATTGTCAATGCTTTTTCCTGCAAAGCACAGGAAATGTTTTTAAAGCTGATTTGTGTAATTATGAATTGGAAAAATAATTAACAGAAATACAATACAGAGATGGGAGAATTTCACATTGAAGTAGAAAGTACATTCATTTATGTCAATAGGTGCTTTGCATTGCTCTGGCCCATTTCATCCCCCTCATTCTCAGGGGTGCACTGCTCTCACACTCACTGCTGTGAGGTAAGGTCCCAATGTATTCAGCTCTCAACCACCTGGGTAAGGTTTTTATTACACCACCTGCTTTTAAAACATGCATTCTTTTACACTGCTAGGGAAAACTCAAGCCTGAGGCTTTGCTGTGACTAAATTTGAAGAGCTAGGAAGATGAGTAAAAAGAGTTGTCTCTTGAATTCCCCCTGCAGAGGAGCAAGCTTCCCTTTGCAGGGAAAGCCCTTTCCCTTTCCTTTGCCTTCGTGGCTACTTTGCAAGCCTGGATGCAGGTGCAGGGTCATGGGCAGCCTGACTGATGGCTCCTAAGGCTGTCACATGCACATGTGTGAGCACTTCTGCCTCCCTTTGAGGCCCAAATTTTCTTCTAGGAGTGCAGGAAACAAGGTTTGGGTCTTTGAAATTAGCACCTGCAGAGGTGGGCAAATAAAAGGTACCTGTACTCCACTGGCCGTATCACAACTCCTTGTTTGCTTGGCATGTGCCTTTGCTGGAACAAGGACATTAGCAGCTGAGTTAAAGGGATTAGGGTTTCATCTCGAGTCATAAAGTGAAAAACTGCAGAAAAGCCTTACTAGGCTTAGGACCCTGTGTTTGTGGGCCTGTATCCATGGTTGCTTTCACAGCTTGTTCACATTTTTGGTCTGGTTTCTGAGCACTGGCTTGTGGTAGGTGTGTTTCTACTCACAGGTTTGATTTAGGGGCAGAAGCTGGAATAATAAATGCGTGATTGAGCAGTTGCTCGTATGTTTATAAATGAAAAGAATTTATTCAGCTGATAAATGTTAGCTTGTTTTCTCTGTGCAGCCTGGTCCAGTGGAAGGTCCCTGTCCATGGCAGGGGGTTGGAACTCGACGATCTTTAAGGTCCTTTCCAACTCAAACTGTTCTGTGATTCTATGATTATATTGAGGTGCATTTTTTCAGATCAAGTCAGAACTCCGTTTGCTGCCCCACTGTTATGCAAGGTATCTTTAAGAGTATCCGGCCTCTTCAGGTTTTTTTTTACCCTTCTGAAAAGAAAGCATCCCCAGCTGCTGAGACAAATCTCCCTCATTTTTAAGCCGCTCAGCATTATTGCTCTCCTCTAAAACTGCTCGCTCATCGCTATGTCTAGGTGACATTCTTTTCGTGTGCACCTCCTGCTTAAGCATTTGCACCCAGCATAGTGTGTACTTCCCCCCGAAAAATTGTTAAAAAAAAAAAAAAAAAAAAAAAAAAAAAAAGGTCTTTCCTAAAAAATACGAATGTATCTCCGAGAGACTGCTCTGAAATCCTGTTTATATTCCCAGTAAGTTTTTTACTTCGGGGAGAACTCAAGCTCTCGCCTGCCTTCCGGCGAGGACGAGGCAAACGTCTCTCGGGTTCTCGGCAGCAGCAGAGCCCCCCCTCCCCTGCAGGGCTCTCCTTTGTTCGGGGCCGGGCTGCGGGGCGGAGAGGCGGGCCGCGGTGCGCGCCCGGCGGGGGCAGCGCGGAGGGGCCGAGCCAGGGCGGCTTACCGTCGGGCCGGGCGGCATGTGGCGGGGGCTGCCGGTGCTGGCCCTGGCCGGGCTGCTGGTGCTGGGGCGGGCGCCGGCGGGCCGGGGGGCGGCCTGCGAGCCGGTGCGCATCCCGCTGTGCAAGCCGCTGCCCTGGAACATGACCAAGATGCCGAACCACCTGCACCACAGCACGCAGGCCAACGCCGTGCTGGCCATGGAGCAGTTCGAGGGGCTGCTGGGCACCAACTGCAGCCCCGACCTTCTGTTCTTCCTCTGCGCCATGTACGCGCCCATCTGCACCATCGACTTCCAGCACGAGCCCATCAAGCCCTGCAAGTCCGTCTGCGAGCGCGCCCGCGCCGGCTGCGAGCCCGTCCTGGTCCGCTACAGCCACGCCTGGCCCGACAGCCTGGCCTGCGACGAGCTGCCCGTCTACGACCGCGGGGTGTGCATCTCCCCCGAGGCCATCGTCACCGCCGAGGGCGCGGGTGAGTGCGCGGGGACCGGCACCGGCGCGGGGACAATGGGCGGCGGGCGGGGAGGGCAGCCCGGGAGCCCTGCCTCCCCTCCCGCTGCTCTCGGATTCTCTCTGCTTTGCCCTCCGCTCTTCTGCTGTCTTTTCTCTGCCTTTAGCAGCAGCATCGCTGCTGGAAAAGTTTAGCTGTTGGGCGCAGAGTGTGTGTGACAAGTGACAGCCCCGCCACCGTTCTGGGGAGCGCGTACGAGCGTGGGAGCTGCGGCTCTCGTTCCACACGAACGGGAAGCGTTTCCACACCGCTCTCCGGGGATCCAGCGGCAGCGCTTGCTGGCAGAGAATGAAGAGCCACCCAAGTGAGGGGCAGCCCCCAGGCTGCCGGCTCCCCCTCTCCCCCCCGCCCCTCTGTGCTCATCTCCAGCCGCTCCCTCCCAAAGCAGGTTGCTCCCTTCCCACACAAGGCCACCACTCCACAGATCTGGGGAAAGATCAGTGCCCAGAGGAGGCCCAGACAGGAGCTGGGGGGCCGGGATCTCCCCAGCCACTTCCTATGCACACCTGGAGGGGAGAGAACACGCTCATCTTGAGTGGTTAGCACCGAAGGTGCAGTTACAGCACAGATTCCCCAGCAGGTCCCTGGGCTCTAGAGCTGTAGCCAGGTGAGGAGTGTAGCAAAGTGCAGCCTTCCGTTGTGTTTTGTTCCCAACATCCCTGAAGCCAGCCAAAGGCTGCATCCTGCACCCGAGCCCTGATGCTGTGTGACCACTGTGGTCTCACACTGCTCAGCTTTATCTCTGCGTCCTGTTTCACCAGCTCAGCTCACTGTGATCCCACAGGATGGCTGGTGCTGGCTGTCTGACTGCCATGCAGCACTGCTGTCAGAGGCAGGAGCATCTCTGCACAGTCAGGTGAGGACTGCTGACTGCTCAGACCATGCTACAAACCCGCTGTGGCTCTGGGATCCTGCTCTTGTCACAGCTGCCTCTGGGCTGCAGGAGTTGGCAGGACACCCCTCCAATGTGGTGAGCTGAGCACCACAGAGATATTGAACACAAGGAGCGATTGAGCAGGAAATTAAAGGAAGCTGGTGGGTGGTTATCACGAGTGAGCTCTGACCTTTTACAAAGTGACTACAGTTCCTGTGTACTTTCAGGAAAGCGTTTGCTGCTGGTGGGACCAGGCTACCATTTTCTTTGATGCAAAGTTCCAGTGCTGGTGGCTCTGCCAGAGCTCTCCATCGGAGGACTTGGAGAGCTGTACTGGGGTGGGAGAGCAGACCAGAGGGGTCAGAGCAGGGCAGCACCCATGCACCCCACGAGCTTGTTGTGCTGCTACCTGTCTCCTTCAGTGCCCACAGCTGTAGTGCTGGGTTTTGGGAGCTCACTGACAGGCAGTGGATCTCACCTCTCTGTCCTCCCCCAGCTGTGGCCTGGGAATGAAAGGGGGATTTTTCATGCTGTGCTCAGCACAGTATTTTACTGTGCTTCTGTCCCACTGCTAAATGTTTTATGTATCCCACTGCCAGTAATGCCAAACGCTGTAAATCCTGTTTTCTTCTCCTAACAAAATATCATGCTTCAGTTTCCTGACCGTGCTCCCCAGCTCAGCCTTCCCAGGTAAGCTGCTCTCTCTGTCTCCATTTATTTACAGGCCAGACAAACCCTACTCCATCTCTGACTCTATTCTCTTACCCTCTTCACCTCTTGAGACCTCCATACCCTCATATCTCCAGTCATTACTGCTATTTCTAACTTTTAGCTGCTTCCCTCTTGCCTTTTCCTACTTTCTTCCCCAGCCCATGAACGTAACCATCTATTTTTGCCATCAGCTGCTGCTCTCCGAGCGCTGCAGACCTGCGGGGGTAGTTTTGGGGAGATGTGGTTTTGAGCACCTTTCTCTGCAGCATTGAGGTGCTTTCAAAACCACCTTAAAAATGGCTCCAGCGTGAGCAAGGTTTGGCAGGTCTGCAGCAATTTGAAAGCAATCACATTCAAATCTGGAGGGAGGAAGCTTGGCTGAAATCGCCCCCAAGTTACCTATTTCTGAGGACCTCAGCAGTACAATAACCTCTTTGAGGGATTCCAGGGCCAGATCCATGAAAACTCTCTTTCAGTGAATGAGAACCTGATGACATTCTCATTTCTGGGCTGAATATTTTGAACTGATGCATTATGCACCAGACTGAAAGAATCCTTCTTGAGGGAATAAAACTGTTCTTTTAGAAAGCAGAGGGAAGGATTCCTGTTCTAGGAAGAGGTAAGGTGAACACTTTCAAATCCAATTCTCCAAATAAAGGATTGCAGCTCAGTAGAACACACAAATAACCAACTGCCTGATGAGTAGCGTGCAGAATCCCTGCTCTTATTTGCTTTAATTTATCTCCTAAGCATTCTAGCCCCTTCTGCTGTCTGTAAACTACACCTAATAGAGTGGGCAGAAATACAATCCATTGTTTTGTGGCTTTCTCTTGTAGAAGGGGCTTTTTTGTTTTCTTCAGAAGTGAAATCTTGTTTTTGGCTTTCGTTCTTTGGCTACCTGTAATAGGGTTCTGCTCTTTCCTCTTGAGGTTTCTGCATTATTGCTGGTGAGCATTAGAACGTTTGTCCTGTCCCTTCCATGAGAGAGCCTTAAGGATGATGTAGTCAGTGTTTGCCCTTGTCAGAGCAGGGACAGGGTTCACAAGCCCAGTTTCCATCAGCTATATTCCCTGCATCCCAGTAGCCTGTGACTGTTGCAAAGTATGGAGGAACTGTGGTTGGTAACATCTGTGATAAATTTCAGTAAGAAGTTCACTTTCAGCTGTTGAGGCACAGTCCACCACAGACATCTTCTAGGACCTGTCTCCATTTGAGTCCAGGTGTGAAGAAGATGCAGACGCCTCCTGTCACAGCACCAAGGGGCTGCTGACGTGGTGAAGGGGTGAGGCAGCTGCTGCTTTGTCTGTGATGGAGATAGCTGACAACAGTGCTGTGGTTTGGGCTCAGTTAGAGGAATAGCTGTGCACACCCCCTGGGCTTGTGCTGGTCTCCAAAACCCGAGTGGGAGTACTGATTGGGAGGTCTTAAGTTCCTCACGTTACAGAGACTGACTTAACACGTGTGGGAAATGTATGTTTCTGGATTTTTCATGCTCTTTGGGAAACATCCGAGTTCCTTCACAGCCAGAAAGCAGAGGGATGCTGCAGGTATGGTGTGGGTGTTCTGGAGGCAAGTGTCATGCTGAATAATTTGGCTTTTTATGGAGGATCCAACAAATCATCATCCAGGATGGAGAATGAAAGAGCATCTTGACAATACATTAACACCCCAGGTGTCAGATTAGTGCATGCTAATGTCTGCAGTCTCCTATGGCATTTATCCCACATCCCTGTCCTGGGCTTTTTGGAGGTGAAAGTGGTTCTGTGTGCTGACATTAGTACAAGTTGTGTTACATCTCTGGGAGGTCCTGTTCACTTGCTCCATATATTTCATATGCATATGCTCATTCTTCCTCCAGTCTATCAGATTATCTTCTTCCCTCATTCAGGGCCCTATCAAACTTCCTTAGGTCTGTGAAGCAGCAGGAACTGCTGAGAGAGAAAATTGTCTCAAATCTAGAATTTCAGAGGCAGGACCTTTTCTTTAGTTTTGCAGGTAATAAGTGGCCAGTGTTGGTGTTGGGATGCTGACTGAAAAAGCATCTCCCATGTGGCTGCTACTGCCTAGCAGAGTGTTTATGTCTCAAGTGAAATGTTTATTCCTGTTTTGAAGAGGGAACTAGCAACAAAACCAGAAGAGTGTCACGGGTGTTGTGCATATTGGAAGTCAGATCTGTCAGGCAGGTTGTCTCACCTTATCTTACTTAGATAAGAACATAGCTTGAAGGCATGTTGGCCTGTTAATAAGATGTTGGAGAAAAGGGAAACCACATTACAGGGTATCAACCGTGTGTAGTTAACACCCAAACTATCATGAGGTGTCTAAGAAGAACTTTGAAAAATTTTTTTTAAAAACCATCTCTTAAACATTAAAGAAAATTATAGATTATTCACATGATGGACACCTATTTTCTTAAATCATATGTGAACCCATGATTTCTCCATGTTGCCCAAGTCCTCCATGTCTGTCTGGAAGAGTTCATAGTAACCCAGGATGTTAATTTGGCATTGCAGGCTTAAAAGGCAAGTGAACAAGTCATTTCTCATGCTTGTTTCTTATGTATTACTAACTTAATTTCCAAAACAGTGGTTTCCAAGCTCCAGATCAAATTTGTTCTGACTCAGTCTTTGCCTAGCTCTGCTTAGAGCAGTCGATGTGCATGGCAGTGCTGGGGGAGTGTTACCGACCGTGCTGAGGATGAGCAGTCGTGCCCAGGTTATCATTTATAAAGTTGGGATTTGTTTAGGTCTTTGCCTGAAACTTGGGAGCAGCCTCATTTCTCAGTTAAATAACAAAATTATTACAAGCTTCAAGCCTGAAACAGGACAGGAGAAGCAAATAAGTTAATTTAAATCTTAGTAATGAAGATACGACCAATGGTGTTAGGCTCACTACAGTTCAGCTGCCTTTGTAGGCTGAGTCCCCTGGATTTTACAGTCTAAGCATTTAGTCAATACCTGGGCCATTAAATGTCATCAAAACCTGGTGGGATTTGTTATGAGGAATAAAACGTTATGTGGAACAGCCATGTTGCTGGCTGCTCTACAACTTGGGAGTTTGAGTTCTTTGCCTTAAATATTAACTAGAATAAATTTTCCTATCACTTGCCTTTTCTGTGCATGTTTTTGCAACCCACTTAGCAAAGATCCTCTCTGTATTAATAGCTGAAATGAATGACAGTGAATTCATGCACTGTGGAAGGGTTTCTTAATTAATGGGGCTCACAGATGTCTCAATCTGAAGAAGGTACCCAAGCAGCAGCCACTGGCTATGGCTTAGTTCTTTGGAGCACAGTGCCTGGAGTGGCTTCAGTAATAGCTGGGCATAGTCTTTAATCATAATGACAATCAGGATCATGTTATTTTTTGCCTTTCTCTGCCTTTTAACATTTTTATTTATTTAAACAGTGCTATAGGAAAGATGTTTGCTCAAAATTAGGTATTACCAAGTTGTTTCTCTGTTCCAAACCTCTCATCTAAATCTGTGGTTGCAGGCATTGTTATTTTGTACACTTACTGTGTACGTGGCTTTTATTTAGCTCTCCTTGTTAGTGTTTTGTTTTGGTTTTTATTTTATATAGAAACCCTCTGAAAAGCAATTAATTAGGATGGTGTATTGGAAAAAAACAGTTTGGATTTGTCCCCTGCTCCTAAATAAAATTTAATAGGAAACTTTTGGATTGGACCTCTGGATAGTATTCTTCTCTTTGGCAATCCAGCTACCCATCGCTGACAGGTATTTATTTCAGGAAGATAGCTTTGCACAGACAGAACTTGGCAGAGGGTTTGCCTGTGAAGAGAAGTGGAACAATAGGAAGTCAGTTGTTTGGGGGATTTTAAATGGCTTTTTTCCCCTCCCTCTCTCTGCGTTGCAGCTGAAGGTCTCAGCTTGGTGGAGAGAGGCCTGTGTCCATCAGGCTGCTGGGGACAGGGGCTGGGTGGGTGCTCCCCCAAACAACTGACTTCCTGTTGTTCCACTTCTGTTCCACACCTGAGACCTGCCACGTAGCTGGTGGCAGGCCTGGGCTGGACCCTCTTCCAATCTCCTGTCTGGTAGGTAAGCAGGGACCAGACTTATGAGCCTAACTGGGGAAAGGGTCAGGGAGATGAGAAGGGTTTCCAGAGAGGTGTTGTTGGGTGGCAGTGTCTCCAGTTCCCTCCATAGGCCTGTGCTCCTGTCCATCTGTAGAACCAGTCATCCCTGAGTAGGCATGAGTGCATTGGAAGGGATGACCATCAAGGCAGGTCAACACTTGCCTGGCCCAAGCCCTCCCAAGTCCAGAACTGAGCTCTGAACTGATGTTCACCCCTGCTTTGCTCACCCTTGGCTGTGACACCAGGCTGCCCTGCTGCCTCTGTGCAGGCACACAAACAGGAGGCACTTCCACTCTGCACACGCTGTCTGGGTTCCTCTGGCTGCACACACAGCTCATTCACTGGGAATTACTGGTTTGGGGTGGGACAGGTGACCTGGCAGTGCAGAGTTAGGAGATGCCTCGAGGCTGTGGTGTGCTGGAATTTAGTTAAAAATAAGTTGTGTACCCATGGGTGTGTGGGAAGATCTGGTGTAAAGCAGGTCAGTTCCATGCTTGTTGGAGTGTTTATACTGCCCATACCAAGCTCACTGGTTCTCCTCGTGTTGGTGTGAGCTCCAAGGACAGTTCCTCAGCCAGTGCCCGTGGGCATTGTACTCCACATGGGCCAGGGAAGGCTGTGAACCCTTTACTGGGCTCTGCTTTATTTTGAGGTGTAATTTCAATGTGGATTGGGCTGGGTTTGCTCAAGCACCATGAAGTCATGCCTGCTTGGATCCATCCTTGGTTTAGGTAGGGACAGTGCACTTCAGGGCTTCTTCTTCCTTCTGTGGATGGGAGATGGTAAACATTTAATCTGATACTTCTCTTGTCTTCTCTGTCATGAAGATTTTTTTCTGTCCCCAGTAACAATTTTGATAGAATGGAGAATGTGCTTTGAAGCTATGAACAAACTATCCCTGAAATACCTGTTTTGGGAGGAATTTCAGCTTGCTGGGCCGCCTGAAAAACCAGAGGAGTTGGCTTGGTCGTGTGCAGCTGGCCTTTGAGAAAACCTGAGAAGGTGGCCAAGGCAGCTGAGTGGGAGGGGCAGGGAATCTGGAGAGCTTTCTCTGCAGGGGTTTGGGTGCCCAGAGGGGGGAAACACCTGAGGCCAGCCCTAGGTAGACAGGGAGCCTCTGTGACCCCCTCTCTGTGGCTGGAGGGTTCTGCAGATGTTTTGTGTGTACTTGGAGCAGATGGGAGGATTGTCAGACCAAAGACCTCTCTCTATGCTTTCACCACATCAGAGGGAATTGTAGATTTAAAGCTACAGCTTGGCTGAATGGACAAGACAACAGGTAACTGACCCAGGAGGGGAAGAATGAGAAGTGTGATTGTCCTTTTGTTTACCATTTGCAAGAGGGAAACCATTTCAATTCCTCTTCCATCACATCCTGGAGTACCAGAATGCATTTGATGCAATATGAAATGCATTCTTAATGCACTGAGGATAACTCAGGTGAATAATCAAAATCAAACATGTAAGAAGGAATCAGCTTGGGTAGTCTGACTTGTTACAAGGCAGCATGGTGAAGATTCAGAGGTTCTGTGGAAGTACCTGGTTGCAAAGATCAGATTGACTCCATAAAAATGTTGGGTTTTTTCTCTACAAACGAAAATCCTGTGGTAGTTGGGAACTTTCTTTGCAAGAAAATGGATATGATGTTTTATTAGCAACAGGATATTGAATATAAAAGAGCATCTATTCAATCTTCCTTTGCTATTTTCTATACCTTTTGCTTTTTATGTTGATTAGAATAATTATTCCTGAAGTCTCAAAATTTTTTAAAGTGAACTATTATGTTGTTTTTCAGCTTTACTCTTGCCCTGACTGTGATTTAGCATGTAAATGAAGTTTCATGTTGCTTTGAGTAGTATAGGTATTCATTAAGTGGAGATATAATTTTTTTTTTTTAACAAGGATGGGAAAATTAGAAGGTTAGCTGAGTAATATTATTTTTCTTGTAAACAGGTATTACAGAATTTGTTATTATATATATATATATATATATATGGCCCTTATAATTTAAGAGAGGAGCTTTTGCTACATTTGTTCTACATTGCAAAGGCAGCTGTGATGCCTCCATGATTATGTAATAATCTAAGTTGATTGTAGGATACCAGATTCCAGAACTGGAAGAGCAGCATAAATGAACAAATGTGCAGAATTACAGAAGGGCTTTTTCTTTGCAAGCTGATTTGTTTTTCCATTTTATGTGCCATTCTAATAAAGTGTCTTGCCTCTCTCCCAGTTCTTGTTCCTCTTGCATTTATTTTGTCCTCAGCTCATTCAAAGTTATATGCATTAATATACTTGTTTTTCATTATTAAATATATGTATAAACCCATTAAATTGTGTGATTTAATAAATAGGTTTGAAATGATGCATTTTACTAATGTGGGACACAGTCCACTTATGAAGGCGTCTGAAATGTATGAAAAGCAGATCTTTGGGCATGGTGCCTTTTTAAACTTCTGTTCCTTATCTGTCCTTCAGAGTAATCAGTGTGTTTTTAAACTGAGGGGAAGGGCTGGAACATTTATTTTGGCATTTGCTTCAACAGTGTGATTATGGTTGCTTGATTTGATTTCCTCAGCAACCAAAAAAAAATCCCCAAAAGTAATTTCTCCTTCATCATCTAATTAAATGCAAACACTACACGTGTTTTCTGTAGTTGATCAAAATTCATGGCATAAATGTCAAGCCTTGTCTGAAACCTGCCAGTCTGTAGCAATGGAAATGGGATATTTAGTCTGCTTCAGCATTTAACATGACATGCTGGGTTCAGGTGAAATTTGGGTAAGACATTGTGTCAACTTTACTGGACTGACCTCTAGAATATTGCAAACTGTTTATTAGTCAAGTTATTAAGTTTCCACATACTAAATGTTAGAGAAAGAGAAAACATTGTGATGTATGTGTAGTGAAATAATCCAATATTAAAAATACTAACATTTCTTTGCATATTTTAAAAATCCATGCCAGATTTCCCTATGGACTCTAATAACGGCAACTGTAGAGGTGCTGGCATTGGTAAGTACATTTTTATAAAACTGTATAATAAGCTGTAGCCTTTCAAATCCTTTAAATATTTAATTAAGAGGGGTACTAAGTGATAAATACTTAAATACTTAGTCTTGACTGAGAATACTGTAGATTGTGCTTTTGCATTCCATGGGCAGGTGGGATTTGGGGGCTGGTCAGCCTCAAAATGTCCATCAAAGCAGGAGGGCTGTGCTGATTTTATTAAAAGTTCTGTCTTGAACAGAGAGAGTAATCATTAAATTGATTTTTCCCTGGGCAAAACCACTGAAGATAATGGTTCATTTTGACCTTAAAGTTCTCAAATTAAATTTAGTACTCTTTGTAGATAATGGCAATACTCCTGTTAGCCTGAGGAGGTTGAGAATGGCACCTTCTGAGGCTGGTTTTATTCCAGCAAGTCCCCTTTGCTTTTTATTTCCGTTTTGGTTTTGCTGGAACTGAATAAAACTGAATAAAACCCCTTGAGCCTTACCAGTACTTGCCAATGCAAAGAAGCAAAGCCCAGGATGGTGGCTAATAATTATAGGAATGTGAATCTTTTGCTTAAGCAAGCCAATGACTGTAGATTTCCTTGGATTTTATTATGATTCCATCCAAAGTTCTCAGGTCTTTGTCAGGAAATTGAGACTTGGAAGCCCTAGCACTGACCTCCATGTCTTTCCTTCTGCAGAGGGGCTGCTGAACTACAGTGTGCACTGATGTCCACTTCAACAGCATAAACACCTAAAAGGTGTTGAACCTAACACTGGATACCTACAGATGTAATTTCAGCACTGAGCTCTGTCACCAAATTGCAAAACTGTATTAGTAATGACCAGTTTATAATACAGTTTAAAATTTTAATCAGTAGGTCCCAAGGTGCAAGCAGCTACATTTTTGCAAAACGTTCTTTAAATCACAGTGCATACCCTCTAGAAGCCCAGGTGCAGTTAAAAAACCTCATAAAAGCAAACCCCTTAGCAGGCTTTGCTTTAAATTGTCTTGAGCATGGGACCATGTCTGAAGGTCTGGCTAAAGATACTTGTTACTAATGTTAGTATCTTCATAGTTTGAAGCCATTTTCAGTTGTGTGGCATTGAGAAAGTAGGGATTTCATGCATGATGTGGACTGCACAGAGAGCGTACAAGCTTCACTTTGAGCATGAAAGCAAAGCTGGATGCTCTCCATGTCACCTTATATCAAAACTATGAGGCATATCTTCACTGCTGCCTGTCCTGGGGCAGGTAATTCCAGTGAGTGACCCTGCAGTGCAAGAGGAAAGTTTGTCATGTTACTGCTGTGGTGCTTTGAAGCCTGAAAGCAAAACCAGACCTAAAAAAATCACATCTAGAACATAGGGTAAGGATGGACAGAAAAATTGCTGATGCAATATCTGCTGATGTCACTGCCTTTTACTGTGCATACATCAAATTAGTGATTTTTCTGCTTTTTCTGTACAAACATGATTTCGGGTTCAATGTGCTGCATCTGTCTGAACTGACAAACACAGCTGGACCACCTAAAAGGCCATGTTTCAAAATGGCTTTATTTATGTGTTCAGTAAAGTAAATTTGTAGTTTTGCCATTGTAAATAGAGACTTTTTGTTTGTTTGTTTTTCAAGTAGCAAGTTGATGTATTTTTTACAAAATCCTCTTCTCAGCTTTGTGGTTTCTGCATCTTACTGCTTGTGCTGCTGTGCATGGTCACAGGGAGCAGGACTCATGGGTTATCCCTTTTTGAGACACCTTTTTTCCCTGTCAGTGTCTGCTGGCAAAACCTTCCCTCTGAGTCTGCAGGGGGGTTTTTTGGGTGTCCTTTTTTACCTCTGTTGGCAGTGAAGTACATTGTTTTCTGCTTCATCACATGCTCAGGTTTCTTAGAAGATTTTCTAGAGTGTTTATTTTTTATCCTTTCTTTGTCTGGGAGGTGTTTGCCAGGTTTAAGTGCCTGTACAGGTCAGGATTGCAGCCAGGTTTTCCATCATGCATGCACGTATATTTCAGATGACACAGATGTTTCTTGGAAGCAATCCTTGGGGAAAACCATTCTCTCCATGTCTTTTGGCATTTACAGAGCGAAGTTTTCAGAGACAGAGGCTTTAAGCAGTTTGTAATCCTGTATTTTCTTGAAAAGAAAATTTAATGGCTGGCTGTGACCTCAGCCAAAGCCAGTCTCTGCTGCCTCTGTGCTTGGGACGTGCCATTGTTGTGGTCTCAGAGCTCTCCTGGCAATCCTGGCAGCTTCTGGGGAGGCTGTCAGGTAGGATGGGATTTTCCCTCAGCATCAGGTGGTGCAGTACATTTTTACAGCCACCTTTTGTGGGTGTTTCCACTCCCTGGGGCAAGGTCAGCATTTGCCTTCCTCGGAAAATCGCTGTACCAGGGACTGGGAGAGAGGAATTGGTTCTGGCTCTGACTTTGTAACTGACCTTGGCAAATGACTTTTGTGCTAGTTTCAGTATCTCTAAATACTGATTAGGAATAATGCAGCATTTTGTACAGTTCTTTTAAATGTAAATTTAAAAAGCATGAGGGTGACTTGGAGGTTCTTCAATAAGAACATGGGCAGGTCTGTAATTTAGAAATAGAACTAGACTAACAAAATATATTCTAAAATTAATAAAGTAAGCCCATACTGCCTTAAAACTGAAGGAAATGTGAGACTGTCCTGCAATTTAGTCTATTTTATTTTGCCTGGGACACAGTGCAAAGTTCTGTAGAGCAGGAGAACATTTCAGTGTGCCACTTGTTGGGCTTGAGTGCTGAGGTGCCTGTGTGAGCGTGGGTCACAGGAGCACATCTTTTATTCTCTGCTCCAAGGCAGCTGTGATTTGGCCTACAGTATCCATGAGCTCACAAAGGCAGAAGGGAAGCCAAAAATCACTTCCCTTCTCTGCTTTTGTTATTTTAACACAAACACATAGAAAAGTTCAAGTCTGTAGGACTATATATAGGTTCCTCAGGATGTGTTTGAAATTCAAGGAAATAATATACTTTTCTTTTGAAATGTTTTCCTCTTTCCTGTATTTTTTTTTTTTTTTGCATTTTCAACCACGAAAATTCTTCCAATGGAAAATAATGATTCCATCAATTTTGATTTTTTTTAATATGCAGGAATCTTATATAATCAAATAAAAGTTCTTTTTCAGACTCTTCATGTTGGATTTAACTAAATCACTAGCTTATATGCATTGATACTTAGGGTGATGGTGCATAGAAATAAGCTGCATTAAATCTACTTCCATTTATGCCAAATCAAATGTCAAAATAGATGCCCATGCACATGGAGTACTGGGATCTGCTGTTTGAAATTACTCCAGCAAGCCACACTTAGACACTGGTGTAAAATAAGTAAATATTTGCAGAAGGACAAGCAGCCCTGAAATACCAGTGGTGTTAATGAACACCACTGTGGGTCTGGAGCTTCAGCATTAGCATTCCCTGGGCACTAATGAAAATGGTTTTACCTCTCTTAGAGTTCCCAGCTGGCTGGCATCTGCACCTTTGGAAATGCTGCTCTGACAGTGCTCATTTGTGTTGGTTTTTTTTGTTTTTGAAGGCTATCTTTCTGGCCACAAGGGCTAAGAATTTCTCTGTTTTCATTAAACTTGGGCTTCTGGGTCATAATAAAATGGTGTAAAATTTACACCATTCCTCGTGGTGGACTGGATGGACCTCTCAGCAACCTGATCCAGTTGAAGATGTCCCTGCTTATTTGCAAGGAGGTTGGACTAGGTGGCCTTTAAAGGTCCCTTCCAATGCCAAATATTCTGTAAATTCCTGCTAGCCAGAATATCCCAGTTTGCTAAACTGACTTAAAATACATAATATTCAAAAAAATGTTCAGTCATGCACTGCCATAGTGTTTCCTTTCTGTGTCTCTGTTATGGTCTGATAAAAGGAACAGCAAGGAGGGCATTCCTTAAGTCTAGCACTGAAGAGAGAGCAGCATTGCAAGGGTGGAATTACAGCACCTGCAAGCACAGGATTGAACATTAAACTGGCTTAAAATGATGGTTTTGTCACTCCAGACTCAAACTCTGTGTGTCTTTGTTGTTGTGCTGTGGTTTGGTTTTCTTTTTTTTTTAATTTTTTTTATTTTAGAATGCCAGGTTTTTCTCCTAAAAAACATTTAAGGTCTCATGGACAGTTCCACATCTCCCAGCAGAACAGGCCAGGAATGCCCTGTGGTTTTTAGTGTTTCACTGTAATAAGCAAGTCACTTCAGTGAAATTTTTGTTAGGTGTTTTTGGATTTAACCCTTTTCTGACTTAGAGATGGGGTAGCTGAGAGGTGTTTTAAAAACTTGTGTTCCATTTTCAGTCTCATGAGAAGGGTGAGACAGTACAGGTGTTGCAATTCATGCCATCACAATCAGAAGCCAACTATTTCCTAATTACAAAACACTTACAGTGTTTCTTGGCTTAACAAGATTTAACAGATCAAATTAAAACAGGTGATAGATCACAGTTAGATGACTTATTTAAAAGATAAAGCTTTTTACACCTTAGCTAAAAAAGCTTTACAACATAAATTTGTATGCATTAATTAGTATAATAACTTCACCGTACACAGCAACCAATGAACAAAACCATCACATTTATTTGATTTATCTTCTATGAATCCAATTTCCACGCTGTGTGAGCTCCAGCCTTTGGGAAGGTAGTCACTGAATACATGCTCTTTTCTTTCTAAACAAAGCTTTCTGTTTGTGCAGAGCGCTGCAAGTGCAAGCCTGTGAAAGCCACGCAGAAGACCTACCTACGCAACAACTACAACTACGGTGAGAGCAGCTGCAGGGCCAGCTCCCAGCTCTTCCCAGCCTGCAGGAAGGGGCAACTTCCATTAAAAAAGCCTAAAAAGTTCACTGTTACTGCTGGTAACCCAAGATTACTTGTTGCAGGAGGAAGGGGTAGCTGAAACGTTTCCAAATTGGAAGGATGGAGGGGATTAGCTTGATGTGTTAGTACAAGGGTATCTTTGTTATTTCAGTTTTAGGGCAGGCATTTGGGGTTTGTGTACTTCTCTGGTGTGAGCAGTGATGCAACAAAAATGGCACTGTGGGCTGCTGTGCCTGAGCTGCCTCTGTGATTTCCAGCATGCTCAGCTTTTGCAGAAGGGGATCTTTTAATGGCTTTCGTGCCCAGTAGCTCTCCGTGAGATCAGACAGGTTCTTTTCCTTCTGGTGTATGGAAGCCAGCAATGAGCATCTTGCCAGCTGTGTGATGCTGTCAGTGACAGCTGTAAAAGTGCACATGTCCTGCTCTTCAGGCACAGCACAGCTCCAGCCTCGTCTTTTTCTTCATGCTGCTTGTTTCAAGCAAATTAGGCCAATGAAGCCACTGAATACTTATCACAGGGACTGGACCATGGGGCCCTTCCCTATTGCAAAAACCAGCCCTTTTTAAGCAGTTAAGCCTTTATCAGTTACACAGTTTAAAATAATAACAAACATAATCCAGCCATACCCCACAATCTGAACACATCATGGTTATATAACTCCTTTTTCTACCCCTAGTTCAGCTGAGTCACTTTCCCAGAGTCCTCTTCTGCTTAGCCAAAGTAGCAGGCCTGAGCCATGATTTTACAAGGGTAAAAAGGCCTCTATTTTATAAGGCTTTATCAATATGCAGCACTTCCCTTTTTCCCATTAATCAGGTGAGGAGCCTTAGGTTCAGCCAGCTTTAAGGCTTTATTTAAATGGTAGCAGTTGCATAATATTTATTAGTATTATGCATTTATAAAGCCAGAGTCAGACAATCTTCTTTTAAAAATAGTTTCTGTTAAAAGCTAAAAAATTACAACTCCATTCAAACACTTTTTTGGTCACTAGTCAGCTGTATGTTGTTTTGGTGGATTTGTTTATAAAAAAATTAGAGTGACTATTCTCTGGTCAGAAACTGCATACGGCAGTCATTGAGCATGCTCCTGTCCATTTTCTCAAGCTTCTGAAATTAAATAGGTTTCAAAAGGCATTTGAAATATCCCCAAATTAAAGCAATATTTTATTTTGAGATCTTAAAAGGTTTTGAGGAAGGGAATCACTTGGGGTAAATTGTGCATACTAGGTGCACAAGCTGGTGTTTGTTGGCAGCTGTATTTAATGTGCCTGCAGTACATGGTGGCTAATGGCTGTTATGGGCAATGCATGTGGGGTGAGGAGATGTGCAAGTCCATGGTTTTCTTTCTTCTATATTACCTTTTTCACATAGGAGACATTTGGAATTTGGGATATCTCCTATTTATAGTGTGGAAAGGGACTCTTTGAATGGTGTGGTATTCTCTAGAGCATGGCCTCTGGGCTGGCTTTGCATTTGTATGTGGTATCAGTTCACTGGTCACCATGAGAGAATGGCAAGCTTTGCCTTTGAAAGGTGACCTTTCCTCCTGTGCAACGTGAGGCACAAGGAAAGGCCCAGAGAGGAAACAATTACAGAGGTCGTGGGGTCAAGATCAGGAGCATTTGAAGTTCAGCAAGAGCAGAGCAGATTAGTGCTGGGTCACTGGAGAGAATCAAAAAGGTAAGGGCCTGTCATCCAGCAGAAGTAGTGATCTGAGAAGTTTTAATGCACGTTCCCTTGTTGCGTAAGGCTCAGAGTGATAAAGTTGGCTCATCTGTACTGCAGGTAGTCAGAGAGGGAACAGCCACAGCTCAAGGGAGAGGGAGAGCATACGAGAAATAGATTTAATATATTTAGCATGGAAAGGGTGAAGAAGACAGGAAGGAAGGAAGTCAGAGCCCAGCTGAAACAGGACATAAATGCAGCTGGCACATAACTGCTGCTCCTGACCTTGTTATTGAGGGGCACACTGAGCTTCCTGGACCTCCTTGGTGGAGGGTGAAGGAATGAAGGGAAGAGATGGAGGCAGAGACATTGCAGGAGTTCAGCTAAGCTTCTGGTGAAGGACCATGCAAAATCTAATGCCAGAGGTCACCAAGAACAGCTCGGGGGTGACCTGCATGATCTGCTGCTTCTAACAGTGCTCTTTGTGGCTTCTCCCCAGTCATTCGGGCTAAAGTGAAGGAGGTGAAGACTAAATGCCACGATGTCACTGCAGTAGTGGAAGTGAAGGAGATCCTGAAATCTTCCCTAGTGAACATTCCAAAGGACACTGTAAACCTCCACACGAATTCTGGCTGCCTGTGTCCCCCCCTCAGTGCCAATGAGGAATACATCATTATGGGCTACGAGGACGAGGAGCGCTCCAGGTAACTCCTCCTGTGCTGTCCTTCACTGTTCCCCTGTCACAGAGCTGAAAGTCAGAGCCAAAAGGAAGGAAAACCTGGTGTGGGTGTCTGTACATCTCCTTCATGGTATTCAGGGAGGGCAAGGCACACAGATCTTAGTCTTGTGTGTGTTGGGTTGCACAGCCTCTTGATGGGGTTGTCTCTGTTGTGCAGGTTACTCTTGGTGGAAGGCTCCATAGCTGAGAAGTGGAAGGAACGTCTTGGTAAAAAAATAAAGGTAAGAAAATACCTCACCTGAAGTCCAGCGTTGTGGGTGCCACAAAACATCTACCTGTCTTTTCAAAATAAGGGAAGAAAATTCGTGTGCTGCCTCCAGTTAATTATCAAAAACTAACTTGGTGTTTTATTTGCTGTATTACTTAGAACTGCATGCTGAGTAAATAAAAGGGATACATTGAATTACTCCAAAGTATCCCAGTGTAGCAGCAGTCAAAACCTCTGCCTCAAAAAAGCAAATAATAGCAAATAATAGGGGACTTTTAACTCTGTGGGCAAGCTGTGTGTGCCACAACACATGCCTGCTTAGTTGGGGCTGTGATATGAGTTTTAAAAAAACCAAACAGACCGGGGGGCTTTACAAATGTTTTTCAGACTAAGTCATGGGCAGGGACACCTTCCACTCTCCCAGCCTGCTCCAAGCCCCATCCAGCCTGGCTTTGGACACTTGCAGGGATGGGGCAGCCACAGCTGCTCTGGGCAACCTGTGCCAGGGCCTCAGCACCCTCACAGCCATGGATTTCTTCCCTATAGCTAATCTAATCTAATCTAATCTAATCTCTGTCACTTCAAAGCCATTACCCCTTGTCCTGCCATTACATGCTCTTGTAAAAAATCCTTCCCCATCTCTCCTGCAGTCCCTTTAGGTATTGGAAGGTCCTCTGAGATCTCCCTGAACCCTTCTCCAGGCTGAGCAACCCCAGCTCTCTAAATGAAAATATATTCTGTTTTTTTCTTACTTAGATGTTTTTAATGCCTTCCAGGTTCTGGAAGGATTACCTTTTTATGTTTTGATGCACTGTAAAGTATCAGTGGTTTTGACCTTGTCAGGAGTGTCACTTTACACAGAATATTCTTATTTTGACACAATTTCTCAGCCATTCATTTGCCATAGTGGTTTTGCCTGTGCAAACCAGTCTTCTCCTCCACTCAGCACTTTCTTCATCAGTGTGAGGGTCACTGGCAGGAAAATACTGTTGTGTTTATAAAAGCACATTTCTCACATCAGTGGAGATTACAGGAGTGAAAAGATACAGGGATCTTATTCCAAGTTGTTGTTTGATTTGGCAGAACCCTGGGAAATCCAGTGCCACAGAGAAAATAACATTTTGCTGCCATGGGCTGATTTCTGCTCAGTTTCAGCTCTTGGGTGGTAACATCATTGGCTGGAATTTTTTTGGGGAGCACACTTACTTTCTCACTTCCTTCCTTGTTGTCTGTAACCTGCTGCTTCTGCCCTCACACCTGGCCTGGGGTGTTGAGGACCCTGCCACATCACCACTTCTCATCATCATCTTCCTTTCCAAGAGCATCAACACTTGTGCAAATTATATTTATTAATATTTATTATGTCTTTTTTTTTTTTTTTTACTGTGGTTTCTGTTGCATGCAAAAATAAATAATAATGCTTTTTTTGAATTAACAAAAACCCCTTAGCTGTTTTTTCATCCTTTTTCCCCAAAGACTGCATGAATAGCTTCATTTAAATTTTATTATTTGGAAGGTGAGTCCCCCTTGTGCTGAAGCCTTGTATCAGACCCTTCATTCACAGAGGCTGCAGGAAAGCCAGGAAACACTTTCCCTGTTTAAATGACTTTTCCCAGTCAGCTCTCATTGCACCCCTGAGCCCAGTGCAGGGTGACGTGGTGGAAACAGCAACTTCTCTGCTTTTGCTGCTGTTTGTGAACACATTTTCTGTGTGAAACTTGTGAACATGTGGATCTGTAACCTCTCTGGTAATTTCTGTACCTCTCTGCTAATTTCTGTAAATTACCAGAGAGGTAATTTCTGTGGTAATTTCTGTAAACTCCGTGGTAATTTCTGTGAACTCTCAGGTAAGTCCTGTATCCTCTCAGGTAATTTCTGTAACTCTGGTAATTCCTGTACCTGTCTGGTAATTCCTGTGACTCTCAGGTAATTTCTGTCTCTCTGGTAATTCCTGTGACCTCTCAGGTAATTCCTGTAACTCTGATGATTCCTGTAACTCTGGTGATTCCTGTAGCCTCTCAGGTAATTTCTGTATATCTCTGGTAATTCCTGTAACTGTGGTGTTTCCTGTAGCCTCTCTGGTGATTCCTGTAACTCTGGTAATTCCTGTGACCTCTCAGGTAATTCCTGTGCCTCTCTGGTAATTCCTGTAACTGGTGATTCCTGTAGCATCTCAGGTGATTCCTGTAACTGGTGATTCCTGTAGCATCTCAGGTGATTCCTGTAACTGGTGATTCCTGTAGCATCTCAGGTGATTCCTGTAACTCTCTGGTAATTTCTAGAACTCTGGCAATTTCTGTAACTCTGGTAATTTGTTTAACCTCTCTGGTAGTTCCTGTAGCTTCTCAGGTGATTCCTGTAACTCTGGTGATTCCTGTAACCTCTCGGGTAATTCCTGTACCTCTGGAGATTCCTTTAGCCTCTCAGGTAATTCCTGTGCCTCTCAGGTAATTCCTATAACTCTTAGGTAATTCCTGTAGCCTCTCAGGCGATTCCTGTGCCTCTCAGGTAATTCCTGTGCCTCTGGTGATTGCCTTTAGCCTCTCAGGTGATTCCCTTTAGCCTCTCAGGCGATTCCTGTCTCTCTGGCCATTACCCCCTCGCTGTGGGGTAACGGCGGTGCCTTTTCCCGCAGCGCTGGGACCAGAAGCTGCGGCTGCCGGGGAAGGGGCGCGCGGAGCCGGGCCCCAGCGCGGCCCCCAGGGCTCGCAGTTAGGGACACCCGTGGATGCACGGACGGACGGACGGACGCGTGGATGCTGCCGTGCCGCGGGGGACGCGCAGGGGACTGTACCAGGACTTCGCTGTTGGAGCGGCAAAGGAGAAATTGCACTATTGCACGTTATATTCTATTGTTTACTGCAAAGTAATGGTTTAGCTTTTATTAGGTTTTGTTCTCCCTCTTCGTTTGCCACCTGTTCCTTTTCGGATGTGTGCAAGTTCTGGAAATGTGTATTTTTTTTTTCTGTTGCTAAGAACTGTAGAAAACTGCCCTTATGAGGTGAAGAAAGACACGGATGTATTCGGATATATTCAATTTACCTTTTTATCTCCTGAATTTTCTTTGGGAGAAAATTCTGATGGGAGCAGGAATGAAATCTGGCCAAGACCATTGCTTAAAGTCATGACTCACACTGGCTTTCCCTGTTCACTCTTTCTTGGTCACTGTTTGCTGAAACTTGCTCTGTTTTGGGTAGGTTGTTATTGGGTTTAAGTGTATCATTTTTTATTCTGAAATATAATTCTGAAATACATTTTTTTTTTTAGTCAAGAGAACTGTTTGAATCAGTATTAAGTTTTCTTACAGATAAACCACTTGCATAAGGCAGAGTCTAACTTTAAATATTTCATGCAACAAACACAGTGTGCATATTCACAGAGAACCTGGGTTTTCCAGTGCTTTGGGCCTTAAAGGAAATATTATCTAGTTCTGTAACCATAATTTATAACTAAATTTATGCTTCTTCTCTTATAATGGCAGTTTTTCCCCCTTTTCTCAGCTGAGTTATAGGAGTAGACAGACTCACCAGGCCTGCTTCTCAGTACAGGTCTGCAGTTTAGCCTTTTGATTTTGTGGTGTTATTCTTAAATCCGTGCCTACATAAACAAGTGTTCAATGCTCGGTAACATATGTCCAATAAAAGAATTGTAGTTGCCAACACAGACCTTACCTGACTTCTGAACCAACATCTTATTGTTGATACTACTCTTGAAAATATAAAAACAAACAAAAAAACCCTTTAATTTTTGTGCTTTAATAGAATTCTTTGCAGATGGTGCCAACATATTGGAAATTATCTTTGTTTTTCTACTCTCCCATGCTTAAAAGAAATCAAAATGGGGTCCATCAAAGAACAATTCTCTTTGGTATAGTCTGCAGAGGGGAACCAGCTGTACTTAAAAAGAGCAAGTGACTGTTGTGTTCCAGCTGTCAGTACTGTCTTTAGCACACTAGGGCTGCCTTTTGTAAGAAAATAGTGTTGAGTTGTTGGGTGGTTTGAAAATATGATGAAGATGAGTGGGACAGAAGTATCTGGGAATGTTATAATAATGATGTTTAAAGATTTTGGTCAATAACCAGCAGTCTTGGGACAGGTTTCCCATTGGGTTAGATACCAAGAAAGTTGAAAAAGAGCAACATCCTGCAACACTCACATTTTTATTTATAATTAAAAATAAAGGGATAATTTAGGGGAAAGATTGGTTCTGAGAGCTGGCAGAAGGATATCAATTCTCTAGGTATTAAATCCTCAGTATTCTCTCAGAATTACAGAGACCACAGAATTATTTAGGTTGGAAGAGACCTGCAGGATCATCAAGTCCAAGCTTTGATTGATCTCCACCATGCCAGCTGGACCACAGCACCCAGTGCCATGTCCAGGCTTTTCTTGAAGACCTCCAGGGATGGTGACTTTAACAAGCATTTCTACTGAGCTGGTAAATAACAGAACCATTTGTTAAGCTGTGAACAGCTTGTTAAATAATGTTAAAAACCTCATTATTTACCCCAAAGCACCCACTGAAGTCCCTTAGAGGAGTGCTGGAGTGGCAGGGTCAGCAGTCACCACTCATCATGTCATGTTCTGCTATGAAAAGAGCTGTGAAATCACCAAACCCTGTTAAAGATGTAGAAAATCCCCGGGCAGCTGGGAGTTTACCCTTTGCTAGCCACCACTTGTGAAGGTGGCCTGTCCCATTCCATTTCTCTGTGATCAACAGCCACCTTTAATCCAGTTGCAACCCCGTACTGACATTAGTTGCATTAAAAATTGCCAGAGCAGAGCACAGGGCTGCACTTCAAAACCTCAGGAAGAGAAAAATGAGCAGCATTTGTAACAGTCACACACATCATGATGTTACAGTGAAAACATTTCCCTAACTGGAAGCCACCAGACTGCTGTTTTTCCAGAGGAATTGAGCATTTTTCATTAGCACATGAAAAATGAGGGTGGCATGATGGGCTCCTTGGAAGAGGCAAGAGGCATTTTTCACAATCCCTTAATTAACTGAGGAGCCTTTTACAAACTCTGGCACTGCTTTTACCCCATCACAGTGATTTCAGTGACTGAACCTCTGCAGCACCACCCAGACTCACTTGTGCTGAGTGTACAAATGGCACTGAGTTACAGATGGCACAATATCAATTATTTCAATAGCTTTGAGCAGTGTCTCTCACATGTGTTTTGTGGCCTGGAGCGCTCTGAAATGCTCTGTTGCTCTAAAGCTGCATTTACTGCTTTACCACATCTTTGAGGGCTTTGTGACCAGCCAGACTATTCTACTATAAAACACTTTAAAGTGTTTTAAAGTGACTTTATTTAAATTATAGTCTTATTCATTTGACATAGTTGTACGTTATTTTCTTGCTTCTTCCCCAGGAAATCCTTTCCTGTCCATTTTGTGCCCATTTTTGATGTGATCCTACATTAAACTTTCAAAAATGCACCAAAAATGCATTCTTCTGTAGAAGCACACAGCCCTCAGCGCAGTGTTTTCAAAGACTTCCATTGGGATGTGACTTTGCTTCAATGTGTAATGTTTTTTGTTCCTCCAGTTTTATTACCTTATGTAAACACAAAGTCAAGTATGTTCTGAAAGTTTGGTTTGTGCAAAGTCGTGTTGCTCAGCTGCAAAGGAAGTGGAGTGTGGGCTGCAGTGTTTGCCTGGTGGAAGAGCCCCAGGAATGTTGTATTTGTGGGGTGCCACAATGAAAGAAGGAAGGATGAATCTGACTCCATGCTCTCAGAAGGCTAATTTATTATTTTATGATCTATATCATATTAAAGAATACTAAACTATACTAAAGAATACAGAAAGGATACTTACAGAAGGTTAAAAAGATCATAATGAAACATGTGCCTCTCTCTCCAGCATCCCGACACAGCTTGGCCCTGATTGGCCAAAGAGTCAAAATAATTCACAGCAGAATCCAATGAAACAATCTCCAAACACATTCCAAAGGAGCAAAACACAGGAGAAGCAAATGAGATAATTGTTGTTTTCCTTTTTCTCTGAGGCTTCTCAGCTTCCCAGGAGAAGAATCCTGGGCAAAGGGATTTTTCAGAAAATGTGACTGCCACACGGGAACCATCACACAGGTACAGCAAGGGAGGGAAAAAACTGCTCAAAGTGGCCACTGTACCCCAGCGTGGCTGAGCTGGTCCAGGCTCTCCTCCCTCCTGATTCCCAGTTCCTCCTGCATCCTGAGCCAAGGCTCTCCTCCATCCTAACCCCTGGGGATTCCTCCCTCCTGCTCCCAGCCCTCTGGGGAGGGTGGGAAGAACTGTTCTCCACAATGCCTGGGCACAGCACAAGGTGACAGAGCCCTGAATGCAGCCCCTGAGGCCACAGCAGGCACACAGCAGCCTCTGCTGCCATCCACCCACCTGCTGCCTGCAGGGCACTGCAGGACTTGCAAAGAGGATCCTGAGTTAAATAAATAAAAGTTACTGAAATAAAAATTACTTAAGCAGCAACATGGCTGTTCCCATTTGGAAACATCACTGTGGTGCATTTTGGAGATTGTAGCTGGGTGCTTCCATTCTCATCCACACCGTTGCCTGGTTCCTGTGTTTTCCAGATGTGCTGCAGCTCTGCCTGTGGTGGTCACAGTGAGTACAGCAAGGTGAGCACCATCACTGAATCAGCAAATCCTATGAAGCATGTTGTCAATCCTATTTAATTACTGGGCTTTGGGTTTTATTGTTTAAGTACTCAGTGACTATCAGTTAATGTGAGAAGGAAAATCTGCGGCACAAAAAGCCAAGAAAACCAAACTTCTGAGTTAATCATGTTCACTACTGTCCTCCTGTCCTCACTCTCAAAGCCTTTGGAGAAAGCAAGGTTTGTTATTTTACATCTTGCCTAAGTAGGTCTCTGTTTGAGATTCCTGTGTCAGGAAAATTAATCCATGGTGTCAGAATTTTATGTCCAAAAAGGAGACAGAGGAGTCCTGTAACTTTATTTGAGCAAAGGGAGAGGCCATGGGGAATTTCCCATGGGGTCTCTTGAATTGCTGGAGGATGCAGCCTCCTTCTTATCCCACTTTCCTGGCCACATTTCTCTTTCCCCATTGGCTGAGGTACTTGAGAGGTACAGACTTCCCAAATCACCTAATGCAGACCTGCCTTTTCTTTATATCTCTGTTCTTCTTCTCTAAGTCCAGGAATTTAGCACAGCCTTGAGTGACAGTCTGAGCCAATTAGTGGAATTCCTCTGGAATTTATGGTTCCTCCCACTGCTTCTTTCACCTATCAGTATCTGGCTTTATCTACCAGCAGGCCCACAGTTTGTTTGTAAAGACACATCCCTGGCATTCCTTTCACCTGAACATCCCATGCAATTTAGAACCAGAGACTGTGGTGTGAAAATGTGGTGCTTTTTTAATCTTCCCTAAACTGGGTGGAGCTTTGCCTTATATTCCCAATCCTGCACTCAAAGTGGGTCAGTGTATGCTAACAGGCAGTGTTTTATTCAATTAATTTGTAAAAGTCCTGCTTTCCATCCAGCATCTGTTTCATTCCTCTCTTAGAGTAAGGTACTCCTACTTCACCTTTCAATCCCCATAGCTAAAGCCAAACTAAAAATAGTGCTGTGTGAGGATGAAGAAAAGGAAAATTTGTAGCTGTGAAAAAAAAGTGCTCTGTAGTCATTCAGAGTGTTTCCTTGTTTCATTTCAGAACTGGTTTGTTTGGAGGCAGCACTGAAATCCTATAAGAAGGGGGCAAACAGAACAGCATGTGACAGCCAGCCTGTTGCTGGTGCACAATGTGGTTATTTTACTGGGGGATGCACATAATGCACATACCTGCACATGCACATGTGACCAGGTATCATGGGATCTATGGAAGGGTTGGTTAAAACCATGCCTTTCCCATATCTGGGTTAGATTAGTCCAGAGAGAAAATATGCAGCTTAAAATCTCTGTGAATAATTAGCCTGACAAGTTGCTTCTCTGGTGCAGCTCAGCAGATGAGGAGGTGGGAGGAATAAACACCAAAGTTGCTTATTCACAAGAAATGCCCTTAATTTCTGGCAGGGGGGTCACTCATGGCTTTAATAAATCTGCTCTGGACATGTTGGCAGTGGCCTGAAAATAGCAGAGCTTGATTTCAGCCTGGGAATTATTATTTTGGAGTATATTTCCTTCCACTGAAGCCAATAATTATTACAGTCTATAGGGTGAGGACTACTTGCACATTTTGAGAGGAGCACAGAGAAAAGAGCCAGTGAGAAGAGCACAGTTCAGTGGATCAGGGTTGCAGAACTAAACTGGAATCAGGGTTTTCTTTTTTTATGATAGTCTAGAGTCTGAGAGAAGCATCAGCTCAGCACAGTATCAAAGATGGGATGAAATATATCTACCCTGAGTGACACCTTAGACTTGTTCCTCATTCCCTGGCACAGCAGCGTAATGTGTAATTAAAAAAAAACAAAACAAAAAACCCCACAAAAACAACAAAAAAGTCCTGTCAGGCAGTCCAACAACTCCCTGTCCTGCAGGAGAAATCTTAGCAAGTCATTCTGTCATGCATGGAGGGGTATTTGCATTGCCTCTGTAACATGGTACAGGATATTTTATTATTATTCTCTTTGGACAGTGCTGCTGGGGCAGGTGGGGGTTGCTGTGCAGCTGCCCTTTCCTTAGGATAAAGAGCAGAGCC